AATTGTTCTTTTCACTCTTCTTTTTTATATATATTTATATATATACACACACACACAGGCTGAAAATGCACTTGTGGACATTCAAACAGGGGGAGAGATGGTGGAGTGATGGGGCTGCTTTGCTCAAGGGCACCTCGGCAGTGCACAAGAGGTGAAACTGGAATCTCTCCAGCTACCAGTCCACACTCCATATTTTGTGGTCTGTGGGATTTGAACCAGTGACCCTTCGGTTGCCAAGCCAAGTCCCTACACATTGAGGTATTGCCGCTCCATTACTTCTGCTATATCCACAGACACAGTCCTTTGTCTCACAGCTCCAGTAATGTGGACAATAAGTTATTTTTCTACTGTATTTAAAGTAAACCTAGAGGTGGTTATGAGAAACACTGAGAAGAGAGATAGTGATGTGGGTGTGATGGCAAACAGGTGGGCATGAATCTAACATGTTCTAAGTATTTTGAGACCTTGGAGGACAGAGTTGAAACAGTAGACCTAGTTCACAAAATCACTTCTCTGTAAGAGAGCTTCTGATAGCAGTGAAGACAAGATAGGGTTAATGTAAGTATTAATATGGGCACTGGAAGTAAGGTTGCTCCAGGGCCTGCAGCAAACCCCTAAAATCTTGCATAATGAAAACCATCAGTTCATAAAAATGTTTATAACTCATTACTTCCTCAGTTTTTACTGGGATTTCCATTTGTACTGGGGTACTTATGGTGGGAAAGGTTTTCAATCAGCTTTAGCCACTTAAAGTAATACAATTTGTAAAAATGTTACTATTAAATAATGCATCTAGTAGGACATCAATGTGTCAACAGACTTTGGTCTCAGCACCCACCGACTCTGCCTGGCTTCCAGCATCCCTGAATATTAATAATGTTATATAATATCATGTTAAAATTCATGATTTGAACATATACAGCTCCATGCCAGCAAACTCCATCTGCGGATGAAAACAATATAATCAAAGCTGGAGAAAAAGAAAAGTGAACCTTGTGTTGAAATTGTTTGCAAAGTCAAGAATGACCATAAAGATCAACATTAAATCTATCACATTATGTTAATATACCAAACACCTTAACATTATATAAAATTAAACTTTATCACATAAAATTCACTTCAGCCCTGTGAATTATATAAGAAATATTTACTGCCCAAACAAGTGGTGATTTACATAAAACCTATGAACTATGAATGTGAAATATCACAAGTTTATATTTGCTTATATTTTGCTCTTCTGATCTACATATAAACATAATTAAATATTCAGATTCCACATTAAGTTTTATATTAAAAGAGACATGTTGCAAGATGTCAAAACAAAAAACAAACAAAGACAAAGAGTTAAAGTTAAAACAGATTTTAATAAACACTAAAATATACACCCAATATTTAATTTGCCTCACAAAAACTCAAACATTACCATTTTTTTCTAGGTTAAATTCTCAGGAACAGCTCCACAAATATTGTTTCACTGAGACAACAGACCATACAATTCCTGCTAATGACTGCCAACCAGGACTTAATATCAGTCTTTATGAAAAGGTTTTCACAGAAGAGACCAACAAACTGGTTTACAGAAGATTTTGATTTCTGTGCAGCATTACAAAACAGTCCATATCATTAAATTCCTTTCTGCATTCATTTATACAATTGTGTGTCAGTCGCTCAAATTAAAATCCATGCCAAGCATCTTCCTTTCATTCGCTGTCATTGCTGTCACTGTCTGAATACGCCCCCAGCAGGCTCAGAGATGATGACCCATTTTGCGTGGTAACAGGTTTAGTAGCATTCTTGGAGTCAGCCGTAGACGCTGTTGAATCTGTAAAACAGGATACGCAATGATTGTGCCATCAAAATCATATGCAAACATTTGATTAAGGATGTGAACAAGCTTATGTGTGAAAAGTATTAGGCTCTACAATGTGTTCATATAAGCAGTAAGAGATACCGATGTGTTACCTGCTTGTGATTTGGGAGCAGCAACGGCCGCCACTGGCCTCGGTTTGATGAACGTCGCGGCTGGTTTCTTTCGCACAATGAGGGACCCCAGTGCCCCTCGACCGCCCAGCGTCCCCACACTCCTCTCCCAGCTCTCCACTTTGGCCCTCTTCACTCCTCCAGTTGAGGTTCCCTGTGAAAAACACACAGCATGAGACAATGCACTATTCCCTGCTCACAGGAAAGATTTTAAATTGTAACATGTCATTTTAATGATTGCTTGGAGCTTCAGCTACATACACGTGTACAGTCTATCGGACCTGGCCTCTACAGCTGTGGATGTTTGTCTGTACTTGTCCCTAACACAAAACAAATAAACTAAACTTTTACATTTTGAACAACGTTTAAGACAAAGGTATAAGAATTATCAAGCTGGCAAAAACATGGCATTAACACTTATATTATTATTATTATATATACACACATATTGTATCTTATGAAAGTCCTCTTTTGTCTCTTTGTGTCGTTGGAAAAAAACTTATTAAAGTTATAAAGATTTTCATGAAATCTATTCTGTATCTTTTCAGCAATAGCCATTCAATGTATTTACATTCTGTAATTACCTCACTATATAGCAACTGTCATGTTAGTGGTGAAGTCACTAGAAATGTAAATTGCCTGGGATTTCCAGCTTTACTGTTTATTTTATCTTACTAATGAACATTAGCCTCACTGTTCACTCTCCTAAAGCTTCTTATGTACTGCTAATGCAAACCAACAGTTCCTACTGCTGCTAGTTCATATTAAAAGTAAAAAAAACTAAAAGTGTAAAAACTGGTGAAACACAATGTGATTATTATGAATCAGTCACTGGAAACGCAATGCATTTGTCACCAAGCTGACAGCAGTAAGATATGGTCCTTTTTGGGCATTGTCTGACGGATCAGTTTGAAATGTTGCAGGAACAAGAAGGAGCAGCGAGCGAGTGAACACAATGAGCTGTTAGATGAAGGGTTGCAGGCAACAGGACTATACTGAGGATTATATCTTTAAATAGGGTGAAAAAAAAAAAACCTTGAACATTGTTTGCAAATGTCATTTGAACTGAATAAGATGTAAGGTACTGAATGGGGCACACACTTTGCTGAATGTGAGCGGTCATACGTACCTGTGCCTCTGTGGGTTTGTCAATGGTGAGGATGTCTGTTGGTTTGTCTGTGCTGGATTTCTTTGACTGCGAGCTGCTGCTCTCCTCCTCCTTCTCCGAGTCAGAGTCAGAGTCTCTGAGTCTTTTCACAAGAGCACGATCCAACATCTCTCTGAGGAACAATCGACACATTCAGATTTAATTGGGGTTTTTAATGACTCTTTCTCAGAATTCACCCTAATTATGAGAAGAATACACACGACAACTTATTCAGGACACACAGGAAGAAATTAAAGTTCCTATTTGTAGCATTAATTATGTAGTCGTGAGAAGGCAGTGTTGGATTTTTAAATGGTTCTAGCACAAAACCGCCCTCACTCACTTTGTCTCTCGCTCATCCTCTTCTTTCTCCCTTTCCTTCTCTCTCTTCTCCAGCTCTCTGTACCGGTCAATCATTCCCTCAAAGTCCACCTGAGCCTGCCTCTGGTTCAGCTCCTTCAGCTCCTGGAGGTTCTCCAGAACCTCCATCTCCATCTTGGAATCCTTTGTGCGGTTCTCCAACACCTGGTAGAGGATTGGGAAATCATTAACTCTTCTAATCCTTAATTAAAATAGTAACAGTAAACGACATTTACAACACCAACCTTCATGGGGTTGTTCAGCTCCTCTTCCTCCCTGTCCTGTTGGATTCTCTTCTCCTCCTCCTCAATCAGCTTCTCTGCCTGGAAGTTTCGTGTCGCACCGTGCTCCATCGCGTAGTCTGTGTTCTCTGGGTCAGTCTATAGTCACAACATGAGATATTAAAGTGGGAGAAATTATTTTGTGCATAATGCTGGATGCATCTCTGGCAGGAAAATAGCACACACAGTTTTACACACTTGTTTTTTCTCATTTCAATACATTTCACTGATTAAATACTCTCACTCACCTTAAATGTGATCTCAGCAAGACACCGAGTACATTTGATGTAGAAACGGAAGATGGGCAGTCCCATGTACAGCTCATTCTGAACAGTCTCCTTACGTGCATTGAACTTCTTCCCCTTGTAGATGTACTCGCCACATGTTTTACACCTGCAAGCAACCAGAGAGGAAATGCTGATGACACCACAGTCAAAGGACTCATTTACAGAGGCCAGGAAGTCCTTGGTGGTAAGAGGTAGACCTGGTCTTACTGCAAATACAACCAAGAATCTACAACAGCAGCCATGGATTACCGGATAGAAGACATTATCGATTTACCAAGCGAGAGCTACAGTAGGGCTGCACAATATGGTAAAAACAAAAAATCATATTGCAACTATTTTATTAGAATTTAAATATAGTTTGCATCATTTTTGCATCACGATTTTCATTTTCACTTGTTGGGGTCTGGTACCAAACAAACTTTCCTTCATCTGGAGAACAAGATTTGACAGCCAGGGCTGCTCTACAGCACTGTACCGCTTCTGTGATTTGGACACTGTACACTGGCCATATTGCAGTTTTGACAATATTTCAATTCATTTTAAAGCCCTTTACAGGAGCATTTACTAGTTAATATCTTCATGTAAAGCATCGCATCCTGTTAGTATGGTATAGAATTACTTGTCAACAGAAGCATCGATATATTAAATGATTAGTTTCATCCTTTAACTCCACTGGGTTCTTTAAACTACAATAAGAATAAGCCGTACAAAAATGCCAAAGTCATGTTCGACCTAATTTAATAGTCCCCATTATATAGTTTGTTCATTCTTGGTCACAATTCTTTCACTACCTGAACTGAAGGTATCTTTATAGAAATAATTGTTTATGTCATGTGTTTGTATATTCTTATACATTAAAAAAAAAACTCTCAAATACTGCCCTAAATGTAAATAATACGTGTGTGGCAATAAAATAAAGTGCAGCTGAAGCGCACACACATGGATGAGACAGACATACCTCATATTGAATGGAGCCATCAATCGGACCACATACTGACGATCTTTGGGGAGTTTAAGTTTGGGGATTTTAGATGGATCAAAATCCGGTGGGTAGTATTTCTGTGGAAGACAAAAACAAAAAGATGTGAGTTAGAAGAGAAAGATATGGGGATAGTCTCTTTTTTTCTCCACTCTATGTGAATGTTTACACACACA